CAGCTTTACCCTCCCCCATCCGTTCTGCCAGTCAGCGCTGGAGGATTGAGAAGTGAGCTAACGCCGGTATGTGTTCGCTCACTTCCCGATCTACTGAGCCGACCTGTGACAGTCTCATTGTCACAGGTCGGCAAGAACTATGAGGTGAGTGAAAAGCACTGGCCTCAATACTATCTGGGTCACTGAACCGAAAACAGCATGCAGTTACTAGAGTCAGAGGAAAGTGGGAATTTCTGATGTGCATACTTCTAGGTCATTAAAGGAGATAGTAGTACTGAAGCGTTTGAACCTACAGTATATATCAGCCAGAATACAGGCTAGCTCAGAAATGGCAGCTGGCACATTTTCCCTGTACAGGTTTCCTTTAATGGCTACCAACCTTTAACAGATCAGTGGCATTCAATGCACACAGATCATGGCAGTACAAGTGAAGAAACCCTGACACTCTGTTAGTCACTGATAAAGCAATCATTTTTTTTTTTTAAATTTACAACCCCTGTGTGTCTGTATGCTTAAAGCCACACTCTGGGAAAAAATGATAATTTAAACACCGCACTGGATGTGTAAATTATCATTAAAAAGCTGCATATTAAGTGTGAGGAGTCAGTGCAAAGTATACAAATCTTTTATTTTTGGGCACTAAAGATTCTGGGCACTAAAGAGGGGGGAGAGATCAGACTCGAGCAGTAGTGTTCCGGTCGCATCACCCGTCCCTCCTCACTACTGCCGTTCACACAATGCCTTTTTTCAAAAGAGTACAAGGCATTCTGTCATTGGAGGAGGAGAGATAATGTCACATCCCCACCCCCTCCTTTGCTTCTCCAATCACAAAATGCCTTGCAGGGGTGTGGAAATTAAAAAAATAACTACTTGTCCAAGGGCTAAAGCGGGGGCCAAATCTACTTGTCCTTCAAGACAATCTACTTGTCCCAATACAAAAAAAATAGTTTTAATCAAAACTAATGCAGGATGTCATTACCTCCTGCCCGGCTTCCTGATTACCAGGGAAGCCTGCTCCATGCCAGCTGTATTACCAGGGAAACTGGCTTGATGCTGATTGTCCAGGAAGCCGGCTTTCCAGCCAATCAGCAAGGAGCCAATCAGAAAACCAGGGGGCGGGTCATTACTTGCTGCACGGCTTCCTGATTGCACGGGAAGCTGGCTCCATGTTCCCCTACGGCACTGCCAGTCAGAGGACATTTTCATCTGACCTTAAGTTCCAATATCGGGGAAGGTATCGGAGCATTTGGGTGAGTACGAGTACTCGCCCAAATACTCGGTATCGGCACTGATACTAGTATCGGTGCACCCCTAATCAAAACATATTTTACTGCTAAATAGAGCTTCTCACTGGTCAGCGCTGTCATCTGACCACGTTGACCAATGAGTGCTTGCAATTTGGGAGCGAAATTCAAAATGCATAGGGGAGGACAGCAGTACGGGGGACAGATAGTACACCCATACTGGCGGAGGGGAGGGATTGTTCGCCGAAAGGTAAGTATAGCAAGGGGGGTGGCGGTTTGGGAGAGACGGGGCCAGATTTCATCGGGTAATTTTTATTTTTCCATATTACCTGGGAAAATGAACTAACCCTTTAATGCACATTATGTGTGTGTAAGAGAATTCTGGCTACCATCATGGAATGGCGGCTGCAATCTCAAAGCACATGCAGAATGTCGTACACATGCGTTTATTTGCATGCAGATGGCGGGGGCAACAGGGTTTCATTTTTATATCTTTATATATTTAATTTTTAACATTTTTTAAATTGTCTTTAATTTTTTATTTACTTTTTCCACTTGTTCTTCCTATCACATAGGTCTAGGGGATTAAAATCCCTTATGTGATAGTTTGAAGGTGACAGGTTCTCTTTATGGAACCTGCCCTCCAACACAGAACAGCTGTTCTGTGTAGTTCCTGACAGCCGAGACAGGTGATTACAGCGCCACGGTCTCAGAGAACACACAGAGAGCCCGTAGAGCAGACGTGCTTTGTCTGCTCTACAGGCTCTATGGCTGAGCCGTTGTGCTGTAGTTTTCGGGGAACCCCAAAAACTACGGGGGAGCGGGGGACCCCAAAAACTACGGTGGGGGGTGCGGGCAGGAACGACCGCCGCTGCTCAAATTGATACAGGTGGTCTTATCAGATCACTTGTAGTAAACGAGCGGCGGCGGCTCCACAATGTACATTCAGCTCTGCTTGTCCGGAGCCGGGCTAAATGTACATAAAAACTACTCGCCCGGCGCCCGAAACTGCATGTCCCGGGCGTCGGGCGATAGGAATTCCACACTCATGCCTTGTATTCGTTGAAAAAAACAAAAAGGCGTTTTGTGAATGGGCAAGTAACAAGGAGAGACAGGTGATGCATCAGTTCAAGTTGCATCCCTTACTCCGCTCAGTACTGTTGTGTGTGGGAGATGGCATGGTTCAAGATACGTTTTTTATACTTTGCAACCACCCTCCATCCACAGTACACAGCTTTTTAATGATAATTTACACACCCTGTGCAGAGTATAATGTGCATTATCATTTTTTAGAGTGTAGCTTTAAAAACCTGCATGTAAAATGTTAGTGTGTGTGCATGAGAGTTTAATGCACAGCAGGGAGATCATTGTTTGACACAGCAGGGTACTGTAGATGGTTGTAATGTCTCTGTTAATGTGGAGGATCTTATTGTACTGGCTAAGTCTACCTAAACAGCCTCCTGTTGTCATTTCATTTCACAAGATCCTCTCGTACAGACGTTATGGCCTCATCCACACCAGAAAAGGCTGGCAGGCATGCACAGCCGTATCGGGCCGCTCCCGAAAAGGACAGGTGCTGCGTGTGATTAGTATGCAGCCCCTGTCCTTCTCTATGGGAGTACGCGGCCATAGGTCCCCTTACGCTCACCTCATGTGCCGGTCCCGGCTCGGGCGCAGACAGGATCCATCCTCTCAGCGTAGGAGTACGCTCCCCTGCACGGACGTGCATACGGCCGCCTACGCCCATAGAGAAGTACAGGGGCTGCGTACTAATCACACGCAGCACCTGTCCTTCCCAGGAGCTGCCCGATACGGCCGTGCATGCAGCACGGAGCTGTACCTGCCGGCCTTTTCTCGTGTGAATGAAACCTACATTGATCAGCCATCACATTATCTCATTACAATGGCACCTGGAAGTGGGTGGGATATATTAGGCAGCAAGTGAACGTTTTATAACTGAAGTTGATATGTTGGAAGCAGAAAAAATTAGCAAGTGTAAGGATTTGAGCGACTTTGACAAGGGCCAAGGTGCTGACTAATTTGACCCCTTCATGGAAATGGTATTCCCTGATGGCAGTGTCCTCTTTCAGCAGTATAACACGTCCTGCCACACTGCAAGAATGGTTTGTGGAATGTAACAATGAACTCGAGGTGTTGACTCGGCCTCAATTCTCCAGATCTCAATCTTAGCAAGCATCTGTGGTATGTGCAGGAAAAACTGTCCTATCCATGGAGGCCCCACCTCGCAATTTACAGGCTAACCCCTTCATGACCAAGGCCTTTTTTTCATTTTTTTGCACCCATGTTATATTCCACATTTTTAGGCCTGAAAATTACTTCAAAAACATTATTATTTTTCTGAAAGCCAAGACCCTGGAGAATAAAACGGGGGCAGTTGCAAATTTTTATGTTGCACGATATTAGCTCAACTTATTATTAAACCCAAAAATTTTGTGAAAATGCACTTAAATGCCCCAAAACACAATAAAATACAATTTTTTTAAATAATACAACAAGTAACTAGATACCCAATATGCCCAGGTTACAAATCGTGTAGATCTGTGAAACAGCGACAAAATTCAGTACCCAAAAAAATTCAACGCTTTAAATGCCCATACAGGTCATCACTATAATGTGCACCTAGAATTATTGCTCTCACTCCACATGTCCCAGCATGTGTAGCACAATCATAGTTTTTGTATGTAGGTGCACCCGACGCGTGTTTACGTGAAGTTACGCCTGCTCACAGAGGCGGGGGACTTTAAAAAATGTTTTTTATTATTTTTATATTTATTTAATTTCATATTTTGTAAAACTGACATTTTTTTTAACTTTAAGTGCTATCACATGGGAGGGGGGCTTACAAGTCCCCCATGTGATAGCATATTGGCAGTGACAGGTACTCTTTAAGGTGATACATGTGGTCCAAGAGACCTTTCCACTTTAACTAAGCTATTGAAGTGCAGATCACAATTCAAAAGCTTATTGCTGGGCCCAGCAATGACAGCTATGGGAACGGAATTGATGCAATACGTGTCGCTCCCAGTCCCATAGAACGGGGAGGAGATTGGTAAACGGACGTTTGCCACTCTCCTCCCTAGCTACCCGAGATGCCGGTCCTGGGCCCGCAGGACTGGCAGCGGAGCCCAGGAAACACGGCGGGGGTGTTGGGGGGAGGCCGTTTACAAACCTGTAGAAGCGATCTGGCGACAGCCGAGTCTGTAAACAGAGTCAGCTGGGAGTCTGTTTAAATGGGCCCGCTGCTAGTGACGGTGGTATGTATGTCACTGGTCGCAAAGGGGTTAAAGGATCTGCTACGGACAGCTTGGTGCCCGATACCACAGTATACCTTCAGAGGTCTAGTGGAGCCCATGCCTCCAGGGGTCAGGGCTGTTTTGGTGGCAAAAGGGGGACTTGCTCAATATTAGGCAGGTGGTCATAATGTTATGACTGATCAGTGTATATCCAATACCAAATTTTGATCATCTTATTACTGCAGAATTACACTTATTACAGCAAAACAGTGTATTTCATTACAATTCAGTTACATGATACAGGCTAATTTATCTGTATGTTCTTACTTCTCACACATGATACATATTAACAATTGGTGTTCATATATGTTTCCTGACATATTAAAAGTAAATATAACATTCATATGCATGAGAAACCTGATAGAAGCATGTGAAATGTTTACATTCTTTCCTGTGATTTGTGCTTCTTGACATAAGTAATAAAGTTCAATAGAATGGATCGGTAATTAGGACGATGTTTGGTCAGTCCACTTTGTGACTAGTCTGATGCTGCAAAAATCTGGAATGGTTCCTGAAGGCTTTTCCGCACTCGGGGCAAGTTAACAGCTCTGAAGAGTGAGTCCTCATGTGCCTGACCAAAGAAGACTTAAGGCTGAACCTCTTCCCGCACTGTGTACACATGAAGTGTTTCTCCCCTGTGTGCACTCTCTGATGTACAATAAGGGAAGACTTCCGAGTGAAGCTTTTCCCACACTCGGCACACAGAAAGCGCTTTCCTCCACCCTGAGCTCTGTGGTCTTCATCTGATCCATGATCCCATAAGCTTACATGTAAGATACTACTAGCTGCCTGTTTTATTGTGGACTTGGCTAAAGGGCTTGCACTCTTCTCCATCTCCTCAGAATTGTCTTTGTTTAAAGCTTTTGAAACATCAAAATCAACTCCCCAGTTAAGCGAGTAGTGGTATGTAGTCATTTCTCCGTTAGTGTGGTTCTCAAGGTGCTCACCAGCTGCAAGAAAATCACAAAAGGAAATTCACAGTAAATAAAAGAATACGCTTTCAGTGCTGCCTTAATACGTCACAATCTCGGCAGCCATCTTGTGGGTTTGACTAACATTCTAGAGAAGAGAGATACTAGATAGCAACACTACTGCATCATAGACCTCTGTATGGCAGTTATGCGGTTTTAAAACAATACAACTTGCCCAAAATGAACACAAAAGCTCTCACACCTGTATACCCCTTATAGACCAGAGCAATTTTACATTTCTGATAAGGGCCGGTTTATCTGGCAATTACCTTGTTGACATGACAAACAGGGCTCAGCTGTAGATCCTCAAATCATCTCTGAATTGGTGCTGACACTGTCTTTCCTTCTGGAGGGTGGCTACTTTTGTTCCCCATGGTCCGTGTGTGTGTTGGAATGTAGAACAGCAGAAAGGCATCATGGCACACTCACAAACCAGCATGTAAAACAACTTGTCTCACCACTAAGGACAATGACAGAGGTTTGGATACACGTCTTCTGCAAAGGATGTGTAAGCCGCACTAACTCTAAACTATGAGAGTCTCCATCTTGGAGCACATGGGGGCAGAAGATATCAAATTGGGTGCAGGCCTGTCAGGAGGACGCCCCACCTCCTTAAAGGTACAGAAACACACAAGGGATCCCGCACATCCCATTGGCAGCTGAGAAACCCCATGCGTCGCTGCACCAAATCGGTAAAGCAAAACAAACGACAAACGCACTCAACAATTTGTTACCAGTTATACAGTAAGGTGCACACGAAATGGGCTTTGAACAGTATAACTGGTAACAAATTGTTGAGTGCGTTTGTCGTTTGTTTTGCTTTACCAATTTGGTGCAGCGACGCATGGGGTTTCTCAGCTGATTGTTTTGTGTTGGAATGTAGCCACCGCTCCAAGCTCACTCCTGTGATGGACTACAATCTCATGTTTAATTTACTAATTTGTATTGAGATTGTAGTCCATCAGAGATGATTTGAGCATCTACAGTAGAGTGATACACAAATAAGGTCCATTACTGTTAATAGTTAAAGGAGAACTATGGGGTCAGTGTTTTTCCCCATAGTTCTCCTTAGGGTAACGGGAGGACACAAACTAGCGTTCTCCCGTCACCCTAAGCTCAGTATACCGCGAGCTACAGCTCGCGGTATACTGAGAAGCCGCAGCCGGAGCGGATCCTGACATCAATGTCAAGATCCGCCCAGCTGCGTGAGTGACAGCTGGCTCTGCCTATCTAGAGGCCAGAGCCAGCTGTACCCGCAGAGAGCCGTGACAGGATCGAGAGGCGAGGGAACCCGGTATGTGTTCGCTCACTTCCCGATCTACTGAGCCGACCTGTGACAGTCTCATTGTCACAGGTCGGCTAGAACTATGAGGTGAGTGCTTTTCACCTCATAGTTCTCCTTTAAGGGACTTGAATGCATTTTTAAGATATAACTCATGAGTTACTGAGGAGTTAAATAGCACTTTAAAAAAATGGTAGTTTAGTGGCACTTTAAACTAAAGACAAGTAACATGTAAAAAAAAGAAAAAAATGTTCAAATTTGACTGGCGTTAGTTTAAAAACAAATAGCACTACTATAAAGACAAATTATACATTTTATTCTATACTTTATCATATTTATAATGACACTAAAATTATATTTCTGGTACAAAGAACATAAAATTAATTTACAAATTAAATATAAAAACTTTAAAAAAAAAAGTTGCACTTTCTAAAACACAGAAAAATGTTGAAGAAAATGAATTACAATAAAAAAAGTTGAGATAATAATTGTTTATAAAATATAGAAATAAAAAGAAAAATAACAGCTAAGGGGAAAGGGAGGAGAGGATTTAATTAGGGCTGATAAGGGGTTAAATAAGTATTAATGAAGGGTTAAATAGGAACAAAATTTGATTTAAAAAAAAAAAAGGGGGTTCACAAACAGGGGGAGAGAGACAAGGCGTGCTGCATACACCCCGTGTTTTTTTGGGTGTGTGTATCTATAGCTATCTGGTGTAAAGGGTCTAGTGGTTAGCACATATACCTTGCAGCAATGGGGTCCTTGGTTAGAATCCCATCTGCATGGTGTTTGCAGATTCTCCTCCTGTGTGTCTCACTAATCTGACAGCAACCCTGTCAGCTAAAAAAGAACGGGCACAGTGAAAAGCCATAGAGCCCTGATTAACTCAGAGTGCCAGCCCTCCCTCTCGCAGTCCAGCTGGGCACAGGATTTCAGGAAACAAATACCAGAACCCATGCATATGCTTCAGTAATGCAAGCATCTGCACATAAATGGATCTTCACACATGCTATTCTTTGAAAATTCTCAAAGGTTAATTCCACATTTCCAGGCAAATTTGGGAAAATGGAAATTCCCCCACCACTCTGCCCCATCTTTTCTATCCGTACACTGTATTTAGCAGCACAGCTACGAGCGAAATCTGAAATACGCATAGTACACCGGCCACCCCAGGCAGGAAGGAACATTTGGTTAAAGGTAAGAGCAAGAATGGGTGGAGGGTGGGCAGAGGATAGAAGGAGGCAGACTGGTGGGGGCAATTCCATTTTCCAAAATGTGCCTGGGAATGTGGAATTACCCTTTAAATCCTTAGTAAATCAGCTTCAATGCATAATTCCTTTTTGAAATTGTACAAATCTGGTTTAAATGCTGTTATACATCTACCCGGCATTCTGCCTTAGCATGTCAAAGCCTACCCAATAAAACACATAAACCTATTCAGTTCCTTTCCTGCATAAAATTCTAAATATTAACAAGATACAAAGCCATCCACAACTCTGCCCCGACTACATCTCCAATCTCATCTCAAAGTACCACCCAAACCATCCTCTCTGCTCCTCTCAAGACCTCCTACTCTCTCACTCCCTCATCACCTCCTCGCCTCCAGGACTTCTTCAGAGCCTCCCCCATCCTCTGGAACTCCCCACCACAACCTATCCAGCGATCTCCTAATCTGTCTGCCTTTAAGCGATCCATTAAAACTCATCTGTTCAGGGAATCCTATCCCACCTCGACATAATAACTCTGCATCTACTCCTTCAAATCAGCTCATCCTCATCCTTCTGTATCATGTTCCCCTGCTTCTAGATTGAAAACTCTCACGAGTAGGGTCCTTCTAATCCTTTTGTATGATATTGTACTGTCTCCCCATATCTTGTAAAGCACCGTGCTAACTGTTGGCACTATATAAATCCTGTATAATAATAATGTATCATAATGTAGACATTGAAGCCTATCTCTGGGCAAACACAAAAGTACCATTACAGTGGGGCTACCTGCACACTGCAAGGGTTAAGTGCTTATTTTAGTCTAGGGGACCAGAGTAAAGCAAATTTACTCATATGGTATCCGCTCCCCTTGGCGGTTGGCGCTTTCTACTTTTTTCCCTCCGCTCTGGCTGATAGAATGTTCTTCAGCGTCCTCATGTTTAAGGTAGGTCTTTGGATGTGATGATGTCAGAGGGCCTTAAACCATTGGAGCCCAAGGGAGAAGAGGCTGCAGGGGCCGGTCCAGCAGCACGGAGGTTCAGCTGGGTTCAGGTAAGTAAATCTATTTACCCCATTCCACTGGACAAAAATGAGCACTTGACACTTGCAGTGTCAGGCCAGCCACGCTGAAAGGGTACTTTCTTGTTTTTTGTTCATACGTAAAAACATGGTTCATACATGAGACATGGCACAGATCATACAGTCTTTAAGACAATTTCCACTTACCAGTGCATGTGTTTTCTACAATCTCTTCCTTTATGTTTAGAGAATTGCCTTGTGTTTGCTCCCTTGTGGCATGGGGAAAAGCCACACAGTGACTAACAGGTGCTCCAGGCAGTATAGATGGGTTGCCCAGTGACGTCTGAGCTCTGTCTGGTAAACCAGACTCTGGCTCATTCCATAATGGCATTGACACCTCGGTTGTATTTTCATCCGATGAACGCTCCATATCTAATAGCCAGTGTTGTTCATCAGGCTCAATCTTTAAGACAGCATTGTGATTGAGGGGCAGCTCACCTGATAAAATGAAATAAGAGACTAGATTTTAGTTGAAATATGATGAGGGGAGTTTATTCAAACTGGAGCAGACAGAATCTAGAGCAATTGCCCATGGCAACCAATCAGCTTCTATCTTTCATTCTCAAAGCCTAACTGAGCAAACTGAAGATAGAAGCTGATTGGTTGCCATGGACAACTGGTCTAGAATCTGCCTGCTCCAGTTTTGATAAAATGATAACTGTAAGTTAAAGGTCAAACATCATGCCATGCCCAGACATTTCAGACATATTCCTTGCTGAAAAAAACAGCTACGACAAGGTAAGAGAAATGTAAATGAGCGCAGACACTCAATGCATTACTAAAATGTATGATCTCTGTAACGGACCATACAAAGAAAGACTTAGTTTGATTAGTGCTAAAACATGTTTACCATGAGATCAGAGACGTATCTACAACAAATTGCGCTCCTGGTGTCCTGCCCAGCTCCTGGCAACCATTGATGTCACTGTATAAGGGCCATACAAAACCCCCCTATCTGGCTCTTAGTAACCTTGGATGCCATGGCCGGCATCCCACCCACATACATCTCCCTGCCCGCTGTGGTTGCTAAGAGACGGGAGATGGGTATGGCCCTTACACATCTCCCCATCCGGCTCTTAGCAACCTGGGACGCTCTGGTCTGTGTCCTGCCCAGCTCCTGGAAACCAATGATGCCCCTGGTTGCCAGAAGCTGGGTGGGACATCACAGGTTGCTAAGAGCCAGGCAGGGAGATGTGTATAGGACAGGGGCGGGGAGAGAAAAAAAAAGTCAGCTGTCTCCGTGGGTCAGCAATCTTTCGCGCCCCCTAGAACATGTGCCAAACCCTGGAAACATCACTGTCCTCCAATTCTATACACTGTGTATAGAACATTATGACTCACAGGACCTTGCTGCAGCAGAGGAGGAGAGAGGCTGCAGGGACCAGTCTAAGAGCAAGCCGGCTTAAAAGGGTCAGGTGAGTACTTAACAAGCACTTAACCCTTGCAGTGCAGGGGTAGCCCTACTGCAAGTGTAAATAATCATTTCCCCTGGAGTTCTTCTTTAACGGCTGCCAATAATAAATATGTTATAAAGCAAACAATGAAATGATAGAAATCTACTCACTATTATGGCTTTCCATATGCACTGACAGATCTTGATAATGACTGAAATAAAGGCCACATTGAGAGCAGATATTAAGGGGCTGCTCAGTGTGGGTCCTCATGTGTCTGACCAGAGAAGACTTGAATGCAAACCTCCTTCCACACTCTGTACACATGTAGAGTTTCTCTCCTGTGTGAACTCTCTGATGTACAATCAGGGAGGATTTCCGAGTGAAGTATTTCCCACATTCAATGCAGTGATAAGACTTTTCCCTGCTGGAAGAAGATCTTTCATTAGGATTCAGTTTAATGGCTTTTGTACAATCGCCTCTCTCCACTCCACCCGGCAATGCCTTGTTGGAGTGAATATCCCTTGTATTACAACTGGTAAGATGTGTACGATTGCTTTCTTCTGGAAAGGTTTTAAAGTCATCTTTGGTGTTACAACCTTGAAAATCAATATTTTCCCGATTCTCTTCATGCATCTTACTGGTGGGAGACACGCCACTTGCTGAAAAATACAATTATATTAATAGTCCATAGAGGGAACACTATACTGCCACCTTATTAGTACAGACATATAGATGACACAACAGAACCAAGAACATGGTATAAGAACATTGTACTAGTCCCAGTTCTGGGAAGATAGATGTTGTGGAAAGAGACACATTTTACTTGTCTTAGGCATGACTTCCGAAAAGGAAAAGATTCTGTGCAGTGAAAGTGCAGCTTTTTGTGTATCTTTTCAATCAACCAGCAGCCGTTGGACAACACACAGAAAGAAGTCAATTGTGCTTTGATTTTTTTTATCAGATGCCACTCTATACTATTTCTTAAAAGAGAACTAAAGCCAAAACCTTTTTTGTTTTGGTTTTGGGGCGCTGGAGAATATTTCATATAATACAATCCATTGTGCGTAAATTATTGTATGTGAAAAACAGACACAATGTACTATATAAAACAATATATATATATATATAAATACTGTATATGAAAAATCTCCCAAGCAGGTGTCCAACAACAATGTGAATGAAGTCCACTTAAGTGAAAGACAAAATATTATTTATCCAAGAAAAACTGTCCCACAAAGAAGTGAATATTGTTCACTAGTGCTTCACACTGCAATCAGCAAATGTGCCCCCAGTGACGATCTACACACCACTAACAACACTCAGTGCTGATACCGCACTCACCGAAGGACATTGGACCATGCATGAAATGGCCAAATATCACTCCTTGAACTTTCCTTCTACTGCCGCAAATACACTGAGTGGCCAGATTATTATGACCACCTGACTATTGTAGGCAAATTAGCTATAATTTTGCGCTGAAGTTGCTAGAGGGCCAGACCATTATAAATAGGGAAGCAGGTGGTTTACCACATCAGTAGAAGTGATTTGTTTCTGAAGATACGGGGGAAACAACGCGATTTAACAGCCTTTGAACGTGGGATGATTGTTGGCGCTCGGAGCCATGGAGCGAGTATCAGCAAAACAGCAGAATTCGTTAAATGTTCAAGAGGGGCTCATTGTTAAAGTGTTTAAAGACTGGACTGTCAGCCGAAAATCTGGGTCTGAACGTGCGAATTGTGGCCGTCAGCGACTAGTCAATGTTAGGGCAGAACGGAGAGTGGCAAGACTGGTACAAGACAACAGAAGGGCAACAGTGCAGTGTCAGATTCCTCGCATCACCTTTCAACATCTCGTGGAGTCACGAGGCGGCCCAACGAGGTCATCCCGTGGCCCAACGAAGTACTGATGGGGTGGTCATAATAATCTGGCCACTCAGTGTATATCAGCTTCACCTCCCGCAATTCCTTCCTCTACACTCGATCTCAGTATATCTCACCAGTTCCACATCTTTTCTGGGGCCGCCGTCAGATGTTTCTAGACATTTCCTCATACCCCAGAGAAAAGAGACCACTCCATAGTGTGAAACCGTTAACTCAATTTATTAAGAACATTACACAATCTTGTGATTTGTAACAGTGCTGTTTTTGGATTTTAATGTAAGTTTTTCAGAATTCTCTTATTAAATTAACGGTTTTACAATATGGAGTGTTCTCTGATATGGTGATCATAATAGATAAACGTAAAAATACTAAAAAGTCTAAAACAGGTCACAGATTTTGGATTAGGTGCCGCTAAAAGGATAAAACCATAAAAAATGGAATACAATGTTTAAAATATAATATTAATAATAAACGGAAAACAATGAGGTGAGCATATGTACTGCATGTGTGTATGTACATGTGTATATAGTAGATAATATACAGGGCTTGAAAAATGTTAGCGTGTCTCACCAGTCAGTCAGCATGACCGGACTATAGCCCATGGGTAAATAGACACCAAACATGTCAAGCCTTAAAATTGCGTGCGTCCACAAAACAACGCCCAAAGGCCCATAAGCGACGTTTAAAACTTTTACTGCTCATCAGTTTAGTGTCATCAGTGATTAATGGCCCTAAAATTATTGCTCATGTGCGGCACAATAGGCGCAATCGTCGTTTTCGCACGTAGGCGCACCTGACGCATATCTGCGTGTGTATGTGGGGGCCAGGGACTTTAAAAAAAATTTTGTTTTTTTTTCATTTTGTTTATGCTTTATTTTTGTTTTATGATTCTTTAATTTTTGTATTACTTTTACTTTATTGATATTACATAGGGGGCTAAGAAGCCCCCTATGTGATAGCCAATTGACATGACAGGTCCTCTTTATGGAGACATCAGGGGTCTCCAAGACCCCTAATGTCACCTAGGGACCCCCAGAGAAGATGATGAAGCAGAGATCTGCTTCATCAGCTTCTGTAGCTGGAGAGTGACACTGAATGCAGGAAGTACACACACACACACACACACACATACACACACACACACATACACACAGAGCGTATGTAGATTGATTATTACAGAATCATATGCTCACCCCATTTTTTTTCCTTTCATTATTATTATTATACTTTCAAAATCGTATTCCAGTTTTGATGGTTTTAGCCTCTAGGGTGACCTAATCCTAAATCTGTGACCAATTTTATACTTTTTAGTATTTTTACGTTTATCTATTATGATCACCATTTTTTTTATACATCACATATACAGTATATCTTATCTTTTAATGTCTAGCCCAGTCATACACCTTCCTGAAGAAGTAGCCGTATAGTACCATGAAACACATTGATGGTGCACCTGAAAATAAAGTGATTTACCAGAAAATATCCAGAAATCTTTCTTGGACTCCAGGTGCCCCTGCTCACCTCTCTGAGGAAATCCTCATTTGTGGGAAAACTCCTTCAAATTCTTCATAGGACATTGGGGACTGGAGCGCTGCAGCCTCCATATCACCCGAAGCTACTCCCTAAAGAACATCGAGGACGACTTCTAACCTGCGCTGGGACAGACATATTGCCTACAAGCCTTTTCAATATGGTTGCCTGAGACCCCTCTCAAGGGAGATCAAGCAACCCAACCAATATATTTTACCCAATGTATTAACAGAATTCAGTCTGTAATTTGATAAAACTACACTTAGATGGATCTCTCCCGGATTTCTGCTCTCTCCATGTTTTTCCTTTCTTCTAATACACTGCTGTGGAAGAATCAACTCTCCTAATTAAAGATTGGAAGGCTGGAAGGATGCAGAATTATTGGTATGCTAGCACAATGGTGGAGCTGGGGATAAAGTGCTCCACAATGGTTGCAACGACAGGGGCTATTGGGGAATTGTTTTAAAGCACATTACTGTTGTTAAAATATGCTGTGGCATTGTGAGGCAATACCACGGTGTTAGGTGGCCTCAAAGTCACCCAGGGTTCTCAGCCAGAGGGGCTGAGTGGCTCCAGGAAGACAGTACGTGTACCAGGAGAGAACTGCCTTTTCAGTTCTTTCCAGGTTTTCTGGATCATAGTTGGGATCCTGGAGCCAGGAGATATCTTAGAGCTCTGGGTGGGATGAAATCTCCATTCCTGGGTCCATGCTTTGGTAGTGACCAGCACCTGATTGTGCACCTGTGTACATCCACATGCACATATGACTTTGTATAATACACATTGAGATCCTACTATCCTCCCATGCACTGATCATTTTTCTTTCTTTATCTGTTTTCATTTCCTATGTTCTGTCTTTGAACTGAAATGTTTTAACATGTCTTGGTTTAATTGAACATGTTCTACTTCTTGTACTGCCATTGTACTGATATTTTCTCTTGCGCTCTTCGCATGTGTTGGAATGTACAACATTTTCATATACTAGAAATGCCGAGCATATATCTTCAGATATTGAATCTGAGATTGCATGGGTCATCAAAGAAGCCAGCTGTGTTTTAGAAGTGCTGGGACCCACTGTATTCATTCCTGCAGGAGGCGTGGCAAGGGAGATGATAAAGGTGAGATTCCTTAATCTGGACAGGACATCAAGCGTTGCACCCTGTGGTGTTGATAGGGGTGTGTGCGCATTGGGAAGTGGCTGTCCCTTGTCTAAGGATCAAAGGACAAGGTGTTGACCTAGGCCAAGGAATGATCTGCAGTACGATGGTGCCCCCTGCTGGAGGACTACAGTGCGTGTGGACAAATATGAAGGGCGATGCTGATTGGCCGAAAGACCTATAAGGGACATGCGGAATTCTGGGTAAAGGGGTGTCAATGTATGTGTTTGAATGGGTCCGGTTTACTATAAAAGTCCGTGCTCAGCCATATTGCTCTCTATCTCTCTCTGAGCCCAGCCAAGACATAGAAACCAGAGGATGGACTTGCTGCGTTAAGTATTCTCTCGATTGTCTTACTGTACTTTTGTATCTATCTTTATCTTTTATTACGTTTAGTTATATTTGTGTATAAATAAATAAGACCATTGCTTCTTTTAACCATTGTATTGTTATCATCCTTGGAAGCAGAGAATAGCAAGTTAGCTTATTTAAGGAAGCCAAGGCAAATGTAGATATTACAGCATGTCTGAACATATCTGTCATGTCTGTCAGGTTTCTTGTTTACTTATGCTTCTGGAAACTTAATAAAAATATATTTTTTTTAAATATGCACATATGCATAACTTTAAGCTGGACACACAATAAGATTTGAGTCATCAGAACAATAAAATGAGTCAACACCTACCCAAGGTTAAACAATCTATTAGCATTATATCACGTACGCCCTCACACTATGCAACTGTGTATGGATCTGCTGGATCAACTCTGAAAGAGCACCGGACTATAAGCGGCCATCCTTGGTCACAATGTATACACGTGATCTCCAGTGAGCATGAAGACACACCTGTGAGTGTTATCTGGCTAGTCACTGGTGTGCTGGAACACTGGGGGAATGGAGGATAAATTGCTTCACAATGCTTGCAACAACACAGGGCAGTGGGGACTTGTTTTAAAACCCATTTACTATGGTGAAATGTATGCACAAAGCATGGCCACTTTAAGCTGGACACACAATAAGATTTGATCCAGCAAATCAACAAAATAAGTCAACACCTACCCAAGGTTAAACAACCTATTCAACCTCTGAATACACAAGTGTATGTTGCTCTGGTGCCCGCAATCTGAAATCTGAAAGGACACCTGACTATAAACAGCCATCATTAGTCACAGTGTATACACATGATCCCCAATGAGCATGAAGACATACCTGTATGTTCTATCTGGTGTCTCTTTAATAGATCCTGCTGCCAGAACTGTTGTCCGCACTGCAAGCATACATGCGATTCCCTTGTACTGCTATTAATGACATTGTGGTTTGTTTTGTCTTCTGCTTTGAGATACAATTCCTGCATCTTGTGTGTCCTCAGGTGTACTACAAGCTGTGATGTGCGACAGAAGCTCTTTTCACACTGAGAACACTTATAGGATTTCACTCTTCTGTGAATTTTCTGATGCTGGAAAAGGCTGGAATAGCGAGTGAAGCACTTTCCACAATCTGGACATATATTTGCAGTCTTTGGGACGTGGATCCTCAGATGTCTAACCAGAGAAGACTTGAGGCTGAACCTCTTCTCGCACTGTGTACACATGAAGCGTTTCTCCCCTGTGTGGACTCTCTGATGTACAATAAGGGAAGACTTCCGAGTGAAGCTTTTCCCACACTCTGCACACAAAAACAGTTTTTTACCACTCCTGACCTTCCTGTCTGCTTTATCGCCATTGGAAGTGGAATGGTTTTCTACCAAATTTAGCTGCGAATTACTGCATGTGTCTTGATGCTGGGATACCCTACCTTCTCCACCTTTCTGGTCAGTTTCACACACACTGAAGCATGTTCTTGAGTCAACGGTTGTACCAATAAAGGATTCACCTGCAGAATAAAGAAACATAAAAGAGCATCTTTTTAATCTACTAGATTGTAAGCTCTTACGAGCAGGGCCCTCCTACCTACTGCTTGTACTGAAATTGTATCGTTTCCCTCAGTTTTGTAAAGCTCTGCATAAATCCTGTAGGATAATTATTATTATGCTTTTCAATTTGCCACCCCTGCTGTAAGGAATACAGAACATGAAAGAAAAAAAAAAGGCTTTGATAACTGACAGAGTATTTTTGCAGCAACTTAGAAAGAATGTCTGTTCTCAACATTGGCAGAAGATATGACAACTTCTGTAAGGTACTGAAGCTGGACACTCAAGCTGGCTATACACTACTAGTTTTTTTTAGTTCACCTTTCGAGCTGAATAGAAAAAAAAAACAGATTCCTTTATCCACACTAAACAGTGTGGATAAAGGAATTAATATTAACTGGCCCAAACTAATGAGATAGCGAACCCACTTCTGCATGTGGCTGCAGTAACAAGAGTCTCTGCCCATAAGCCTAGAGATAGAAAACTGAATACAAGTTACTCTTAATTGTGCTCCACTAGATAAGAAAAAGAGTACAGGGGTTGTTTTCACAATATGGGCCATTGCCGTATCTTCCAATGTAAGGCACCTTGTTTTTGTCCATTTGTCCTGGTGAGCAGATCTTAAAGGAGAAGTATTGGGAGAGTAAACTGTACTCTTCCCAATACATTGAGCCAGCGTGTCACACTGCAGATATCACACACCGGCTCTAAAGCTCAAGAACTGAGCGATCACAAACTGCCAATCGCTCAACTCATGGCTTCTCCCTGCAGAGAGCGTTGTCTGTCAGTCACTAATCCCCACAGGGATTCTCCCAGCGCTGACAAACAGGGGAGGGACGCGGGCACAGTTGGTTCTGGCTCCAGAGAGGCAGAGCCAGCTGTCAATCAGATAGAGAGGTGGTTAACTACAATATGGTTGGGATCTTTCCCAGGTACAGTGCGGCTCTGCACTGTCAGCATATAGGGGACAATAGCCCACTATATGCTGAGTTTTGGGTCGCAGGAGGACATTAGTAAATGTCCTCCTGTGGTCTAAAAGAGGACTAAAGCTAAAAAGGGTTTGGCTATAGTTCTGTTTTAAGATTACATAAAGCTGTGAGAAATAATTGTCCTTTTTTGCCTGGCCTGGGGACAATTTAGTGTATTCTTGTAAAATACAGCGGCCTACAGAGTCCTGAATACTGACTTCACAGGGCATGTTATATATGCGCTGACTGAGCAATCCTCCTTTGTGAGTGTTTTTATAGTTTGTTTTTTAATAAAGTTATTGAGTTACGCTATGAATCTTTTTAATGTAATTCCCCCCTCAGTGGATTTTGGAGCACAGTGGAGAGGAGGAGTGATATATAAGTCATATGGCATATTACAGATATTACCATCCTAGGGGACTGGATATCGTAACCTAAGCAAGTGACTACCATATCAGTAGGTGCTTTATGACCATTTCATAGTGAATGGTCCATCTCATCTGGTGAGTGTGTTTTTGGGAGCGGTACTACACACGGACAGTGAGAGAGAGGTGTGACTCACGGTCAAATTTTAATGCATCCTCTTGGAAGTCTAACACAGCCTTGCATACCGTGTTTCCCCGAACATAAGACACTGTCTTATATTTTTTTTGGCTCAAAAAAACACACTAGGTCTTATTTTCGGGGTAGGTCTTATATGTTAGCAATTCCCAAAAATAGTACTAGGTCTTATTTTCGGGGTAGGTCTTATATGTTAGCAATTCCCAAAAATAGTACTAGGTCTTATTTTCGGGGTAGGTCTTATATGTTAGCAATTCCCAAAAATAGTACTAGGTCTTATTTTCGGGGTAGGTCTTATATGTTAGCAATTCCCAAAAATAGTACTAGGTCTTATTTTCGGGGTAGGTCTTATATGTTAGCAATTCCCAAAAATAGTACTAGGTCTTATTTTCGGGGTAGGTCTTATATGTTAGCAATTCCCAAAAATAGTACTAGGTCTTATTTTCGGGGTAGGTCTTATATGTTAGCAATTCCCAAAAATAGTACTAGGGCTTATTTTCAGGGTAGGTTTTATTTTCGGGGAAACAGGGTAATTCACTGAGAGTTTATATGGACATGTGAATATGGACTAGAGCTTGTTTTATAATTATATTTCTGGTTTGTGTCAGTATGTCATTTACAAGCAGGTCGTAATGCACATATTTTTGTAGTGGGCAATCACCATATGCACTTTATTTAAGCGCTGGCCACTTTGTACTATTGATTTGTGTGTTTTACACTCTTTTTAGGTTAGTGTTTTAGGCATTAGTGAAAAATTTACGGGCGCTGTTCTGTCGGCACTGAGAACTTATCGAGTTCTGCGACCGCCTGACTTCCGGTTTCGTTACAACTAAGAGGTTTGCCCAAGAAAGTTGTTCTGTACGAGCGCCAGCCAAGGCATTGGCCTATACACATAGACCACAGCAATGAAGTATTAAAATGAACTAGGATCACACTAATCCAGCACGTTATTAATCTCACGTGCCCCACTCAATATGGCCGCCGCTTGAGTGGGGCAACTCAGAATAATAACGTGCTGGATTAGTGTGATCGTAGTTCATTTGATTACTTCATTGCTGTGCTGTATGTGTATAGGCCAATGCCTTGGCTGGCGCTCGTGCAGAACAAGTTTCTTGGGCAAACCTCTTAGTTGTAACCAAACCGGAAGTCAGGCGGTCGCAGAACTCGATAAGTTCGAACTTTCGATCAAACAGCGCAGGTTTTTTCGCAAGTGTATTCTTGTAAAAAAATGTGGTCAAGTGCAGCTTAACCAACATAGGGCTTCTTTTATAAAACCCAGCTGATGCCGTTGACACAGCAGTACGCCCCTAGATGGTGCTGAGGAGTATAGGGACTTCTTGTCATCTAGGGGTGGTACTGCCATGCTTTATGGCGAGCGGATGTTTTAAACATGAAGCCCATGGTGTGAAAGGCCCTTACTGATCTGGTCTGCACATACTATTCATTTTAAAACAAGCTAAAATCAGCTATGTGCTCAATAATGTAGTCAGCAACATTAGGATTGGGGCACCTATTGCTCACCTTGGTGTTTTTGGAACATACTTTGCTCCTGAAAACTCTCCCCACATGATGGGCCCATGTGGGACTCTTCTGCATGGTTGGCCGGTTTATCTCGATCATCCACTCCAGAGTCCACTCCAGAATCTGTCTCCGGGAACGTCCATAGGGCTGTGTGTATTCTCTGGTGCGATGCCAGCTGTGATACTCCAGAAAAGCTCTTCTCACGATGAAGACACTGAAATGTTTTTCTCCTCCTGTGAACTTTCTGGTGCTGAAGTAAGCCTGAGTAGCGGCTAAAGCACTTTCCACAATCGGGACAAATGTTTAGGATTTTTGGAGAGTGAGTCCTCATGTGTCTGACCATAGAAGACTTGAGGCTGAATCTCTTCCCACATTGTGTACACATGAAGCGTTTCTCCCCTGTGTGGACTCTCTGATGTACAATAAGAGAAGACTTTCGAGTGAAGCTTTTGCCGCACTCCGCACACAGAAAAAGTCTCCCTGTACTGGTGACTTTCCTTCCAGCAGGACTAGATTCATCTTCTGACTGTAGAGATCTATCGGTCCTGACAAACTGAGCAGATAGATTTGTACCTGACTTATGGCCAATAGTGCTGCCATTTGTGGGTCCATAAACGCTGACAGCAGGAATCAAAGCCTGGACTGAAAAAATCAAAATCAAAATCAAATGAGCCACAATGGATGCACCATTAGGAATCACGCTTAAGATTTTGTACCAGTCTGAAAATAATGCATGCAGTCCAGCCTTATTGCTAATCGTGTAAACACCAGTTCCCCATACCTCTATATATTCTGGTTGTCAGGGACCCAGGGGGGCCGTTCCTTGTCAGGTTCGCAGGCGCGGGCATGGGTAGCTCCTCCTCCTCCCCTGGCAGGGCATCCGACGCTGGTGTGGCCAGTGCGCGGTACGCAAGCCGCGCGCATGCGCGGACGTGCGAGCGTAGTGCGCCTGCGCCATTCCAAGCCATAGGTGCTACTCAGGCTGGGGGAGGACTTCAGCCTTCACCACTTGCCCTCAGCCTTGTGATTGGACTCTGACTGGGGAAGCTTCCTGGTTGCCCTGGCAGCCAGGGGGCGGTACTGGGTTCCCTGTGTATTTAAAGCTGGTCAGAGCCTTGACTCATTGCTGAGTTATTCTACCTCATGGTGAACACCCAGCTCCCTCCTGTGAACCTGTTGTTTGATCTGACTTCCCGGCTACCGACCCTTTTGCTTGACCCTTCGACTACGATTCCTGCTGCCCGCCACGACCCTGAACTGGACCTGACTACCTGATTGGATTATACTTTTGTACTGCGCTTTTTGAACATTGTTCGCCCCTGCCAAGGGGTTCCACACCTGGCCCATTATTCCAGCCCTGACACTGGTATGTACTGCCATCTTAGTTGTACAGTATGTCACCAGTGGCAAGAGGCCAAGGGGTCTTATAAATCTTCCACCCAGCACTAAACTGGGCAAAGCCATTTACACACCTTTCCTGCCACTAGATGGAGCTGAGGAGCACAGGAAATTCCTATATTCACTCATCCTCTGTATCTATGGTGGGGGCCATAGTGGCCAACCAGGCTGGACTTCAAACATGTCTGCATATGTTCATCCCATGGGGTTTGATGGGATCAGTCATTTACAAAAGAAAGATAACATTGTCAAAGGGTATTTATGGGCAAAAACTAAAAATAAATATGTATTTCTATATTGAATTTACATACGTTCTATCCCACTCCTAATAACCATATCGATCTAGACCTTTGTAAACTAACGAATTGAAGATGCCTATAGGATGTAATTCCTCAATGCACTGACACAATTTCACTCAACCCTGCGAATATATACTTCCATGTGTCACCACTCCAACTTCACCTGCCATCTGAACAATGTAATATCATTGTTTGATAGACGCAATGCATGATGGGATGTGTAGTCTTGAAAAATTGAGATTTCATCACATAAAGCAGCAGGGAAAGAGAGACAAAGCACACCGGGAATCCAGGAAGTTGATGAAAGTGATGGGCAGATGAAGGGCAGCACTCACTACATAAAAGGGATTTTTTTTCAAGTAAGCTTTGATTGCAATATCAAAAGCAACTTTAGTATAAACTGTATTTCTACAATGCTGATGCTATAACTGGATAGTATATGTTGGGACTTTAAAACGCCTTTAACAGGTATTTTCTGTACTTGCTGAAAATGAAAGCTAATGCAGCCAGCACATTTAAGGGCTGGTAATCTACAATATAAAAAAAACACTTTTGTTCTTGAGTTTAGTTATCCTTTAAACGTTTTGGGGATTTTTACTTGAACAGGATGTGGTAAATACAATCTCATTTATTTTTGTCATGAAGTGACTTTTCAGATGATATACCGTATTTTTCGCACCATAAGATGCACTTTTTTCCCCCCAAAAAAGAGGTGAAAAATGTGCCTGCGTCTTATGGAGCGAATACCTATCGCCCGATGCCCGGGACATGCAGTTTCGGGCGCCGGGCGAGTAGTTTCTTTTTGTACATTCAGCCCAGCTCCTGACAAGCAGAGCTGAATGTACAGTGGGAGCCGCTGCTTGTTTAATACAAGGGATCTAATTAGATCCCTTGTATTAAATCAAGCGGCGGCGATCGTGTCCACCCCCCGCCGTGATTTTCCGAGTTCCCCGCTCCTCTGGGTGCTCACCATAGAGCCCCTTGAGCAGACGAAGAACGTCTGCTCTGTGTGATTACTGAGACCGTGGCGCTGTAATCACAGCGTGAACCTGTCTCAGCTGTCACTACCTGCAGCTTCTGTCACAGAATACCTGCGTCCTATCGTCCGGAGCGTCTTATAGACCGCAAAATACGGTATATGTTTCCTCACCTTTGTGTTTCCTCTGGTGTCTGATGAAGGAGTTGTTCTGTCTAAAGCTTCTACCGCACTCCAGGCGATCATTTGCTTCCTCTGCTTTGTGAAGGATGGTGACATGGTCCAGGACATTAGAACTTTTTCCACCCTGTCCCTTTCTTTCATGTATCCTCTGATGGACCACAAGTTCTGATGTTTTAACAAAACTCTTCCCGCAGTCACGGCATCTAAAATGTCTCACTCCATTATGGACTTTCTGATGCTGGAAAAGGCTGGAATAGCGAGTGAAGCACTTGCCACAATCTGGACATATATTTGCAGTCTTTGTGACGTGGATCCTCAGGTGTCTGACCAGAGAAGACTTGAGGCTGAACCTCTTCCCGCACTGTGTACACATGAAGCGTTTCTCCCCTGTGTGGACTCTCTGATGTACAATAAGAGAAGACTTACGAGTGAAGCTTTTCCCGCACTGAATACACTTACAGCTCTTCTGTCCATTGGGATTTTCTTTCTCTGTTGTATAATCCCCATTTTGCACCTTTTCATCAATTTCTGCCTGTCTGTCACAGTTCTGCGTGCTACTAGTATTGGGGGGTGTTTCACCTTCTGTTCCCCTAACCATGCTGTGGTCTTCCATGTTGTAATCATTTGCAAACATATATGGAGTGTTTTCTTCTGAAAAATGATATTACAACAATAATCTATTACTTGGCAGTACAAAATATACCACATAATATATACATAGTATGTAAAGTTGAATAAAGACCAAGGTCCATCCAGTTCTACCTATATGACAGTAGGGGGTTTAGTTTCCCCAGAATAACCAAAGTGACCATATTGTGTGTACTGTTCATGTATAACTGTCATAGATATTACAATGGAGGATCTTCTAGGACAAGGAATGGAGTGAATGGTCCTGTGTAGTGATGAACTGGGGCTTGGTGTGAACCCAGTTCGTCCAAACCAACTCAAAACACCACCCACCAGGCCCAATCAGTTGTGGAGAGGCACCAGACCTACTGTATATGTCAGAAAGGAGTGGAAATGCCCCAGGCGCAACTGTCGCCACTGATTGGGTCGGGGCAGTCACAGTTTTGAGCAGGCTTGAGTGAACTTAGGCAAGTAAAGTGGAACTGGGTTGGCACCACACCCTGGCTCATCTCTAGTATAGTTCCATTTAAATCAAATCTAAAATAAAATAATGGAGGCCTGCTTTAAAGAGATACAAGAAAGCATTGGAAACCAGCTCAACCTATAGCCTGATATTGTGCATGAACTGGGAATCACTGGTGCTCAGGAAAGGCTCTGTCCACCTCAGTAAGAAACGAACATAACACAGGTTCTGGCACACAGCTTTATGTTCTGATCCTTTATTAAATATCAAATGAACAGTTCACATCAGATATTTAAAGAATAACTCTGGGCAAATTAAATCATATCCCTTGCAGTGGGGCTACTCCCGCACTGCAAGAGTTAAGTGCTTGTCTAGTCTAGGGAGCTAAAATAAGAGAGTTATACCCATGATCCCGGCTGGCTCCTAGACCGGTCCCTTCAGCTTTGCTACCCCTCCACTCCAGGGGGCTAATGTCCAGGAAGTCATCACATTCTACACAGTGTATAGGATGTGAGGATGCCGAGGGACATTTAATTGCTGGAGTGGGGAGGAGACAAGCTGGAGGGAGCAATGTAAGAGCAAGCCGGGATCATACTTCAGGTGAGTATAACTTTGTTATTTTCGCTCCATAGACAAAACCAGCACCTAACCCTTGCAGCAGAGGGTTAAGACTGAATTTGCCCAGAGTACTCCTTCAATAAAGGATCGGAACATGAAACGGTGTGTAGAAACCTGTGTATTATTGGCTGTTTTAAAGAGACCCTGTCACCAGACAGAAACATTATAGCACTTTTAAAGCCCACCTCTGAGAACAACTTAAACCGTAGGTAAACACTTACAATAAACCTGTGTTATTTGGTCTGTCAAACATACCATTATACACGCGTAGATTTCTGTATGAAAGATCACATTAGAACATTCCATAACGCCATCAGAGACTTGATGATTGTTGTTTGAAATTAAGTTTGGTTTTTACATTGGATTTTGGAATGAATGGAGTTTCCCCAAAGAAAATCACATTCACTGTTAGGCCTCATTCACACACAACGCAAGCAAAATTGTATATTGCGTATATACGCATCTATGCGCGTATATACAAGCGTCTATGCTATATGCGTGCACTATATGCAATCCCAGAATGCATCACTCGTAATGGAATTTTTAATGTGCTGTACGCGCGTAAATACACAGAAATACGCTGCCTGGACGCATCTCTGTTCCATTCTGTTTTGGCGCATATATACGCTACGCAAATATACGGCTCCATACGCGGCTGTGTGTATGGAGCCATTTATTTGCATATGGTACAATACGCACGTACATGCGCGATACTGTGAATGACGCCTTCGAATTTAGCTTGTTTGAGAAAACATCCTTTCATCCCGCTCCTAATTTATTTTCATGGTCGAAAACAATAGACAATTTGACCCCATTACTATTAAAAAAAACAACATTCTGAAAATACATTTCTAAAATCCTAAATGTGTGTATACCCAGCTTAAAGGGTTATTAAACCCTCATTTGTTTTTGCATATATCTACTAGCAAGCAATAGATCTATGCAAAACAATTTTTTTTAAATACCTGTGTCTCCGCCACGCGTTCCCGTCCGAACATCTGAAGAGTCTCGGACTGCCGCAAAGAATCATAGGGCGGGCACATACGCAGTTCTGATGTTCGGCCGGTGGACGAGGAGAAACACAAGGTAAGTCCATGGAGCAGCGTGCAACCGCACAGACTCTGTGGGACATCAGAGGAGGACAGAGGAGTCAGCGCTGGAGGGACAGCTGAAAAGCACAGTAAAGAAGAAGATAATCGGATTAAGAGACATCATTTAAGGTAAGTGCTTACATTAGCAGTGTGGGGGGGACGACTTTTGCCCTTAATGTCACTTTAAGATGAGCCCTTCCTACTAGTGATGAGCTCGGGCGTGTTCGCAAGCGCCTTGTGCCGAGCCCGCCAGGAAGCCGCCAATTATGAAACACTGACCATCTACACAGCAGAGTGCTGGCAGATGTTTCTTGCATAAAAATGCATGAATTGGCCCATAAATTGTTTTCATTGACATGCATATAGACGTGTAATTGTCCGTATAGTGTTCAGTAAAAATCCACCTTCCATTCCATGAAATGTACTCTTATAGGTGCCTACACATCTACATGGATTTATATGAATACACATGCAAATTACTGACCTTGGGCACCGATTTTACATATCTAAACGCAGCACAAGCTTACTAATCTTTGCGTGCATGGGCCCATAGAGAACAAACAATAGAACTGTGTTCAGATCTGTAATAATTAAAAACCTGCACTGATATAAATACAGCGAGGAGAATGTATCATAACTGGAGCAGATGTCCATGGCAACCAATCAGCTTCTATCTTTTATTTTCAAAGCTTAACTGAACAGACAAAAGAGAGAAGCTGATTGGTTGCCATGCATAGATGCCCCAGACTTTGTCTGTTCCAGTCTTGATAAATTCCCCCTATAGCGGTTTTCTTTGGCCATCTGATGAGCCCTGCTATACTCAGTGTTTGCGCTATATGTATCCTACATGTTCTCTTCTGATCGCAGCTAACACGCACAACATTCACTTATAAATGCCATTTACAAATAATACATACAAAATGCCTGGACTCATTGATACATGCACAGCGCTTCTCCGCGCTCCGCCCCGTGACCCGTCAGACATTCTATATCCGGTGCTAATGGCAGCGCAAGTGGTGTTGGGATTTGTAGTTCAGATAGCACTCTAAACAGTGCTGTGTAGTGGGTGGGGGGGCGTTGCAGGACTACAACACCCAGCGGACTGAGACAGGAGCACACGCTGTCATGCGGCGGCGCTGCCAATAGGTGTCGCAGTGTGATTGTGAATGGTCCAACACGGGTTACCAGGCCAACGGCGGTGCGTGGAGGTGTGTCTACGGAACGCTTCGTAATAGGTCCGCCCTTTATCCAATCAGCGTGCGGCGAGAAGGCTGAGCGAGCGGAAGTGTGACATTGTTGTGGTGTCAAGGAGTATGTTAGCGATGAGTGCCCGGAGGTTGGCCCCGTGGGGGATCGGGGCGGCCTGGACCCCGAGGGCTGTTCTGCGCCAGGTCAGATCTTCATTATCGCCTCACCATGGTTTTTGCGTCTCTACCTGGGTAACAGGTGCGGGATATGTGACCCTGGTTATCATGGCCACAAATCATACAGTCAAGTATGGCTAAAGACAAAACGGTTTTTATATTTAGCTAGAGTAATGCAAGGGAAACACCCCTGACAAATGTTACTTTTTGATCTGCAGATGCCCCATTGAGAAGTTTTACCTTCACTTCCTGTCCCCAGCCACAACAGAAAGTGAAAGGAGATCTCTCCAAAGTGAAATCCTTTCTTAGTTGTCACCAGAATAAGTGTCCCCATCGGAAGATCTCACCTCTATTACTGTTCAGGTGACAACTCTAGGGCCTCTTCACATCATATGTGTGCTTGGCCCAATGCAGTCCTAACACACAGACAGGATAAATTGCATTGTGTTCTATGTGCAGTGGTGTGCACTGAAAACTAGGACATGAAGAAGTACTTTTTTTGTTGTAATGTACTAAACTCTCCTTGCAAGATTTTTCTGTGAATAAAATAAATGTAATGCTACTTTTTTACATTTCAATAAAACTGTAAAACAAAAACAAATTGTCATTGGCACATCAGCACTGTTTAATTCAAGGCGCACACCAGCATCCATGGTGTGCCGCTGGTGTGAATGAGCCTTAAAGTGACATTAAACCCTCAGATTTTGTAACATAAAACAATACTGTAATATGTGCCTTACTGTAATCCATGGTTGTTTCCCTTCTCTTTGCTGCTCTTCCTTTTTAAATATGTATCTTTTCGCATGCTCTGCAGAACTTCTGTTTTGCAGCAGACTGCCTTGTCTCTGGAATAGCTACATGGTGTCTGTGTGTACGTTTGCAACCTGAGCCAGCACTACAGGTAGAGGCCCTGAGCTGCAAAGGGAAGTTCTCCCCCAGCATGAGAAGACATGAGGATTTAAAAGGAAGAGCAGCAAAGAGAAGGGAAACAACCATGGGTTACAGTAAGGCACACATTACAGTTTTGGTTTATGTTAAAAAAATCTGAGGGTTTAATGTCACTTTAAAGTCTCCAGGACCAATAGACGATGAATCACCCTAATAGACGCAAACAGCGATTATAAACGTGACGGTCTTTAACCCCTTCATGACTGAGGCCCTTTTTTCCATTTTTGCACCCATGTTATATTCCACATTTTAGGCCTGAAAATGACGTAAAACCCCCCAACATTATATATTTTCTGAATGCCAAGACCCTATAGAATAAAATGGTGGTAGTTGAAAATTTTTATGTTGCGCAATATTAGCGCAACTCCTTATTAAACCCCAAAATTTAGTGACAAATTTAATTAAATGCCCCAAAACACAACAAATTACCCATTTTTTTAATGAAATATAAAAGATGAGGTTACAACGAGTAAAACGATACCCAACATGCCCAGTTTACAGA